TTTGTGTGATCATCGGTGTTGGCGATAATGGCAGCAGGTTTACTCCAAATAGTCGGTATCTCATCTGCAGCGTAAATGTCTATGGTGTCGCAGGGTATGTTTTGTAATGCAGCTCGTAATTGCAAAGTATTCATAACCACCAAGAATTGATAAGTGGGTTTTCTTCTTCTTCTTCTTCTTTATTATGGTTATTACGGTTATGCCACGTCATAGAATGTGATGGAGGTGGTGGTGATAACTGAGATGCCGAGTGCGATGTAGAATCCAGGAGACCATGATCTTTAATCCATTTTCTGATACGTAACGCATTATTTAAAGCATATGTATATTCACGATTATTTGTTCGATTTTTTATGTTATGAATGAGACATGTTTGCTCTAGCTGAGGTAATTGATGAAATGGTGGGCACTTCTCCTCCTCCTCCAAATTTATAATGTTTCTACTAGTGACACGATGGAGAAAAGCCGATTTATCCTTTCCTCTAGTGAATATTCGGTTGGTAAATTGAGCAAGTGTTCTCAAATGTCGACACAGGTTTTTATACGGTGTATCGCCTTCAAACCACTCAATACCATGGAAATTTTTACTGAGCCAATTATTTTGAGATTTTGAACGAGCCGACAATTCAGTAAAAGAGCACGATTGGGCGATGATCCAATGAGCGTGATGCGTGTTGCTTATAGAAACAATAGCGACTTCTTTTGGAAAAAAAGATTCTTCTGTATCCTTGAACCCTTGAATATCGATAACGATATCCATATTTGTAATTATAAGAGAGGTGTATATAAATAACTACTATTAGCAGAGTTGTGTACACAACCAAGAGCTATCACCGACTGAGAGAAAAATTTATATACACTTGACGTTCAGATTTTGCGTACCCGTAGTAATTGTTCCCATAACGCCGATGATCCATATAGTATTTGTGTTATATCCCCTCTCTTTCTTAACAACCGTAGTCTACAATTACTTGTCTTGAGGCGTCGATCTCCAAAATATTATCGTATTCGCCATAAACGATACAATTTATCGTGTTTTGTAACGCTTCTTCGAAACGAACCTCGATTCTAACGTTACCATGTTTCATTAAATTCCAATGTGTATTGTTATTTGCTGAAAGATCCGGTGTAAGATCAAATGCAAAAAGACAATACCCATCTGGATAATTCTCACGAGAAATAGAGTTTCCCTCATTTAAAAAATGAATTCCTGTTCCGGAAAAGAGTGTATGAAAGGCGTCCATATACAGCTTATCCTTTGTAAAATCGGGTTGTAACGGCTTACTAGGTATTTGTGTGCCGTCCACGTATAGAGATAAAAAATTAATTTTGTAATGGTGAAAATTAAAAGGATTGAGTGTGCGATTCCCATTGAATGCTCTATTATCGACAAATCCGATTATTAAACGCTTCGGTATTTGACCGAGTATCACATTGTCAAGTGTTTCACCGTATATACCACTGTGTATAGATATAGATTTCACCTCGACCCTCGTAAGCGGATACTTTGCTGTGGTTTTTGCAAGAGCTTTAGCGTGCGCTAATATACCCGGTGAAATCTTTGAACGCCTGACAAGAAGTGTGGCATCTAATATATGAACCTCGAATTTTTGATCGGTTTGATCTATAAGACAAAAAGTATCTCTTGAACGCACCATCCGCAAACGCATTTCGACACCATTTATCAAAAATCTTTCTTGATTGAAAACATCACAATGTAAATGGCCCGTAAGATCGATCTTCTTGCTCTTGGTTGTTAATGAGCGTCGTTTTACAAAACCTGCGTTTGATTTAAGCGAAGTATCCATTACACCGCTTGTATCTCCATACCAAAGTACGCTTGTTAAATGAGAATTTTTTGCAGCTGGCCCATAATTAAGCAATGTTTCTATGTAGGCTCTATAAGCGTAAGCGTTATTTGGTGGTGATACAAGTTTTTGATTAAAAAATACGTCCACTT